TGAAGAATACGACTTGAACAATATGTGGTTTCAACAAGAGGTTGTAACATGCGAATATGACTTTATTGCATTTCCTGGCTATTGACATTTCCCGGCCGCGCAATTTCTCGTCGTGGCTGTATCAACTGACCACCAAAATTATGTGAGTTGAACCATTATACTTTTTTATGAACTTACGCGAAGGACTGTGTTTATGTAGATAAACCTTAAACTTTTAAGCATTTAAAAGCCGAAATCCGCCTTATGGCTACTAAGTGTACATATCGCCTTTGATACGGCAAATGTGTCTTATCGAAATATTATTTTTAGACACCAAGATTCTTTGGAGCAAATTCGTTTCAGACAATTTGGAGTCCATTTAGATGTGTTCGATCCTCTGTCTGTCCGATTGGTGCGCACGAGTAACGGTTTTCATCATGCTGGTACCTCCTCAAAAATGGTCAAAATGCATTTTATAATATCATGCGAAAATAGCACCCGATCTGGACTAAACCGGACCCATGAGTACTGCGAAAGGAGTTATGTCACTTCATGCTGTGCTTGCACGTTTCCCAGCGTGTCACAATGTTCACCCCATTGACGGCTGAAATAAAGCTCCCTGTACATAATGGTCCATGGGGAATGATTCTGACTGCAAACTACCCCAAGATACTGGGTGTAACGTCCGATATATTTTCAAGGCATCTGCGCAATCCACTGCTTTATGCTATAAGCTGAGAAGTGGCAAGCTATGCGGCACCAGTGTGGTTTGCGAATATATGTTATACGCAGTGGAAGAATATCCAGACAGACTGCTGTTCTGAGAACTGCAACTCATGGCTCTAGTCGACCATATTTTGTAAGGAGTCGAAGGTTTTATCCGTCCACCGAGACAACTATATGTTGTTAGTGTTTGGGTGTTCCCGACGCCTAGGCATGCCAAGAGAACTTCCAGAACTTTATTTTTATACCCTCCACCATAGTATGGAGGGTATATTAATTTTGTTTTTCCGCTTGTAACTCGTCGATATATTCATTTCCGACCCTATAAAGTATATATATTCTTGATCAGGGTAAAATTCTAAGGCGATCTAGCCATGACCGTCCGTCTGTCCGCCCGTCTGTTGTAATCACGCTATCTTCTGAAGGAATTGAGAGAGGGTCATGAAATTTTGCATAGGTTTGTCTTTTGTCTGCAGGCAGGTCAAGTTCGAAGATGGGATATATGGGTTCACGTTTAGGCATAGCTCCCATATAACAGTACCTCCCAATTTTCGGTATTTTGGGGTTCTTGATCGCGTTTTTCCACCAAATACGCAAAAATTTAGTACATTGAGTTCTTATTAGGTACTAAATGTCTCAACAAAAAATTATAAATATAGATCCACTTTTTCTGGTATTTCCCATATAACGGTACCCTCTACTTTTCAGTATTTTTGGGGGTTTTGATCGTAGTTTTCCACCGAATAGGCTGTAATTTAGTATTTTCAGTTCTTAATAGGTACCAAATCTCTCCACAAAAAAATATAAATATAAGTCAATTTTTTGGATAGCCCCCATATAAGGATACCCCCAATTTTCGGTATTTTGGTGTTCTTGGGTGCCTTTTTCAACCGAATTCGCTGCAATTTGGTATTTGGTAGTCATATATGGTAACAAATCTCCCTACCAAAAATTTTTAATATTCGCCCCCTTTTTGGGGTCGTCCCCATATAACCCCCTTTTTATACCCAACACAACTATGTTGTCAGGGTATAATAGCTTTGTGCAGCCCCAAAAGTTTGTAACGCCGCGAAATAATAGTCCTAGACCCACCTTCAGGTATACCGATCATATCATATCTCGACTAGCTGAGTCGATGTAGACATGTGTGTCCGTCCGTCTGTCCATTATAATTTGTAAACACGATACAGGCCACAGTTATGGACCAATCTTCACGAAATTTTGCATGTAGGATGGGTTCTGGCCGATGAAGACCCCTATTGTTTTTGGACCAAATATTTAATTATTGTCGGTTTTTCTGGTCGCTCCAGAGGTCGCAATTATGGCCCGAACATCGCGATTTTTAATAGGGAGAAGGGGATTGGGCCAAAGAATAACCATGGCTGTTTTGATATAGATCGGTCAATATTTAACGGGTCAAATGGACCATGACTTTTGTGTGAAAAATTACAAAATTTGTATTCTATGGCCTGAAGAACATATACCCGAGAAGTTGATAGTATATACAATAGCAGTAGTTGACCTTTAAGTTGATACCAAACCAATTATATTGTCGTATGTACTCGGATGTGGAAGCTACACTTAAATATTTACAGGTGCTTACGTATTCAGATATTATTTAGTAACCCAAATTTTCCATGAGATTCCAGTTGTGGTTAAGAATAACTCCTATAATTTTCGGTGATGATCAGATAATAATTTTGGGATGAAGTGCACCGAAAACTCAAACACCTATATAGTTCCTGAAGCAATTATAAGCCGAACATCACAACCCAACTCGCAGTGAAGGGAATCTGGACAAGTAATAAGAGGGGCTGTACAGAATATTAGTAATATTCAGAATATATGTCAGTGTAAGGAAGAGGTGCTGTTGACCTCTAATCGGGCAAGCGGGTGCAAATATCACGACATATTGGGTATCGTATGGTCGGCTCCGTCCGACTATACTGCTCCGCTCACTGGTTTATTTTAAAACAGTTATTTAATTTGTTCCGTGTTTGGGTTTGGTTCTAAGACTCTATTGTAATCATTTCATCTGAGGAAGATAGAAAAAAAAACTAGAACATAAGGTTAAATAATTAGCCTTATATATATATATATATATATACATATATATGAACTGTAACCCGCATTTAGGCCTAGCCCGTGTGTGTTCATTTTGAACGTGAACTAATGTTGGAAGAAATAATAAAATGGGCAAAGTTTAGATGAAATCGAAATTTTTGAAACAAATTTGTTCCAAAGAATCATGGGTTCTAGGACCAATATTTACAACCATAATCGGTTTGTAGAATAGTCGGTATAGGTACACTTTTTGTTATGCTCCCTATATTTTTATTTCAAGTACCTGTCAGTATATCTATGGTGGAGGGTATCAAAAGTTCGGCCTGGCCGAACTTAACGCTTTTTCACTTGTTTTCTATTGCCACAATTCATATATGAAATCAAAATTTTTGTCGAGTTTGGTGAAAGTTGATTTTCAACACATTTAACAAAATCGAAAGATCGAAAAGTCTACTTTGTATTCAAAGACAAAAGTCGAAAAGCCTAAAAATCGACTTTTGTCCCTAATAGAAGCTCCTGGTTTTCGTATAGCATGATTAGATTTAAACAGATTTAACAAAATCGAAAGATCCAAAAGTCTACTTTGTATTCAAAGGCAAAAGTCGAAAAGACTAAAAATCGACTTTTGTCCCTAGTAGAAGCTCCTGGATTTCGTATAGCATGATTAGAGCTTCAAAATGAAACCAGCAATACCTTTTGTACAAATTTTCAAATTTCAATAAAACACACTTCAGATATATTTTAAATATTTTTTTTTTCATATATATATATATATATATTTATATAGATTTAACTGATTTGTTTGTTTTTTTATTTAGTTTTTATTATTGCATTCTAATAATAAGCTTTCTATTAACTAAATATATATAATTTTTATTTCTATGTTTTCTATGATATATTCGATAATTCATATTGGTAGGAAATCTTACAAACTATTTACAATTGAATACACTCAAAATGAAATTGTTTAGGGGTAATTTTTTGAAAATAAATTCGATAATAAACATAAAAAATATATATTTAAATAATATTTATAAATTTGTATAACTAAAACAATTTCTTCCAAGTGTTTCGGAAATTCTCACAAAATAAGAAAAAAAACACACAAATATAAAAATATAGATAATATTTTAAATGATAATTTATGGTCTTATTAAATATAATATACAAAGTACTTAAATCATTGCTGATATAATAATATTTAATTATGTTGTTGTTGCTTTTTGTTTTTAGTATTTATTTTCGTTTTGTTTTGTTTTTTTATTATATAATAAATTCTTAAAATTAAATTTAGAAATAAGCAAATAGTATTTAGGATTCAAGTTTTTTAATTTTTTTTTTATTTCACATTGGGAGGGTGTGGATTTGATTTTAACTAGGGTTTATTTTTTTTTAGTATTCGAAACATTTTGAGGAAGGTTTACAGGGCGGGGGGAAATAAGGTGTTTGGTGCAAATTTTGATTTTTGTTAACTAACTGTGCCATCTTTGTTGAGTACACAGATAATTGATTTGAAAAGGTATTACCTCCATTTATTTCCTGGTAATAGGTGGGTGAATTGTTTTCTTTAAAATTATATAATAAAATAATTATGAAAAAATTTCGTGATAATGGTAAAAAATCATAAATAGCTTATAAAATGGTATTTGATCTATTTATTAATTTACAAAAATATAGCTGCAGGCAAAAGCCGAATCCCTTTAAATATTTTGCGTGCTTTAAAATAACAGCACGACCTTCTGGGGGGTTTGAGTTTTCTTTTCTTGCGGCAGCACACATTTATTTGTTACCTCCACCCCTCTCCCCTGTTATTTCAATTGATATTCTGTTTAACATATGTAGTTTTTTCTGATGAAGACACGTGCTGTTAAATTGTCCCCTTTACGCCTTGTAATTCAAAATTATAGGTTATGTTTGGTTTTTCGAAAAGCAGAAACGACATTGGATTTATTTTCGTAAATTGTTAACCGAAAGAAGTCAGTTTTTTGTTTGTTCGTTTGTTTCAGGGTATTGAATATTTAAATGTTGAAATTATTTTTCACACTGCCTTACTCCACCCCTAAACCCCCAACTCTTTTTCCAAATTTTTAACGCCTAACATTTGATTGCTTTTTAAATTTTTTTACATAGTAGTAATTGTACGACATAATACCAGCTTCTGCTGTCATCATCATAACTACCCCTCATTGGGTCTTCATGCTGTTCATCCTCCTCCTCCCGCACCCCGAACTAGACTCTGCTACTTAGACATCATCATGTTATCTCCGGAGCATTGTTGTGCTTAACAATATCGGGCGATGGGGAAAATGGGCGATGCAAAAATTGCGAGCTATGATGATAGGGTGTTGTTACCGCTGTTGCAGAGGCCGTGGCCACCGTGGTCGCTGAGGCTGCCGCCGATGAGGCCGTTGCTGAGGATACACTGCTGGGGCTACTGCTGCTACCACGTTGATTTTGTATTGTTATTGTAGGTGGGTGTTGGTGCGCTTGATGTTGTTGCTGCTGTTGCTGGTGATGATGATGTTGCTGCTGCTGCTGCAGTTGCGTTTGGTGGTGATGATGCTGATGAAGATGCGGATGATGGGCCACCGCAGCCGTCAGTGTCGCCGCTATACTATTCGCAGTCAAATTAAGTTTTTCCGGTGAATTGACACGTATTTTTGGTGGATGCGCCGCTGATGATTGTGGCGAGGACGACGATGACGTACAATCGACAACATAAGCCGCCGAGGCATAATTAGGATGCAAATGATTGCCCCCATTCATGGCAGCCAATGCTTGCGGCAATTGTGGATGTGGTCTTATCACCATCGGCTGTATGGGGAATTGTTGGGTCATCTCTTTAAAATTGGCAAAACTTTGCAAATATCCAGCATTGAATAGACTCGTGGCAGCTGCATCCAGCTTAAACGAAGGCAAACATGAGGGTGGCAACGTTGCTGTGGGATATGCAGGTAAATTACTGCCAGACAATGAATTTGACAGATCTCGTGGTTTATCATCATCGATGCTGAGGCTTTCATCGTTAGCGCCATTCGATGTTGAACCGGGGCTGTGTTGCAAATGTAAACTGCCCGGTACGGGTGAGTGGGTACCCAGCGATATATCCGAATCAGAGGTATCGGAGGGCGTGGGTGAGGGTGCACCATCGGGTCGGCGTCTACAGCCGAGACCGGAATTTTGATTGTGTTGTAATCTGTAAGGAAAGAGGGAGAGAAATTGAAATTTAGTAAATTTTTTTTTATATAAAAAAATTTCTAAGTATTGTGAACTTAAGTCCATTGAAAAGAAGTTCAGGACATATTGTGTTATTATTATTTGATATAGCTTCTCATGCATTGTAACTTTAAGATATATTTATTCAATTTTAAGTGATTATTAATACTCTTTCGAGTCGAGCTTAATGGTCTAAATTTTGCAATGAAAAGGAAAGCCAGGAGAAGAACCTACGTACCCACCATTATGCGACGCGTTTCGCCGTTGGTTAAGCGGCTCATCAGGGATATTGGGCTATGTGGCTTTACAAAGGTCGTACGTTGATAACTTGTATTTATTCCGCCCTGATGCGAAACTTGCATATGCGAATTAAATTCAAATTTGTCAAAGTTCGACATTTGTCTTCATTCTAAGAATAGTCCTTTTCAAAGCAGATTTTTGTTGTAGCGATGTATATTTAATCCGCACACCTTCAATTGCTACCATGGTATACACATGTTTTTTATTCAAACTATATATATTTTTGAGAATACTATACATAACCGTCAGTAGAACATTGTTTTAAAAAAGCAGCGAATTTAATTTAATTATTGTCTACATATAAAAAAAATAGGTTTCTATTAGGTGTGGTTGTTAATAAGCTCTGATAAGTCATTAAATCCCGATGTTTGCTGCATTGTGATTATTTTGGATCAATATTATTGTATTATGAGATTTGCCATCCTATCATGTTCAGGACAGACACCAGGTCCGAATGAATCATGCCACTCAATTTATAGATATTTTCCATAATGAGTTTTACCTCCATCTTTAGAAAAATCGAATAATACTCTTTGAATGGGTATTTTGATCTCTTACAAAGCTTTAAGAAAGCTTAATAATTTTCTATAATAAAATTTAATATTAGCTTTCATTTTATGACTCACTGTCAAGTCATCTTAAATGTGAGAAGTAAAAATTCCCACGTTTCCCTCTTTTTTTAGTAACCAGCTGAGCTGGAGAGTTACACAATTACAAAATTGATCTACTATTTTACACGCACACACACACACACACATACCCTATATATGAGTTGAGAGTTATCGTTCCACTTTAATTTGAATGTTATTGATGAACTTTCAACGAAAACGGAAAACGGATTCCAATTAGAGAATGGCCTGCTAGACAGCTTTGTGGGAACTTAAAATTGAAACAACAAGAAACAGATAGCGAACTTCCTCATCGAACTCAATAAAACTAAAGTACTTTCATTTCAATACCTTGACGAAATTAGACACTGAAAATATTAAATGCTTATTTAATACAACATTTACTAATTTCCAAAGTCTCTAGGGGAGAAGAGGCGAAAAGCAGACAGCTTGGCATCATCTGAGAAAAAAAATTCGATGAAGGCTACGTTAGAGATTGGCCTGCAAAATGGCCGTTTACAACTCAATTTATTTAACATCCAGCATGGCTATGTGTGTTATGATAGCCACCAATTTTGAATGCTTAGCTTCGTTTGAAGATATGCCGACATGTGTGAATATATGACCAAGCTTTTCAAGCAAAGAAAATGACACGGAGAAAAACGACGTACAATATTACGGAATTTTATCACAAAAAAAGATGAAACAAAATTGTGAGGATGAAACAAAATTGTGACGACAAGCATGTTTTATGTGGAAAAATGAAATCTTTCTATGGTAGCGATATAAAAATGTACCTACATTGAGAAATTATATCCGCAAATCCGAATTTTTTCAATTTAACCTATACTCTGACAAAAGTCCCTTTCAATTAGCGGAATGATAAAGGTGCAAACACACCCCTTTCTAATACATGTGACTGTAATGTGGCATTTCTCAGACTTATTGGACGAATGTTGTCATTGCAGGTCCATATTCCGACATGAGTCCAACTATATAAAGGACACACAACATATTTTGATGTTGCTAACCTTTCAAAGTGGCTGTCTGTCCATGTTAAATTGTAAACAAAGTACAGGTAGCATTTATGATCCGATTTAGATAGAAGTTGGCATAGGTCACTTATTTAGCACAAGGACAAATCCTATTGAAATTGGGAAAAATCGGTTCGGATTTAGATATAGCTCTCATATATAGTTTCGTCCGATTTAAGGTAAATTGTGTACCAAAGTCCCTATATATCTCTTCGATTTGCACGAAATTTGGCATAGCGTACGGAAATAAGTCTAGAGTGATGCGTGCTAAGTTTCATAAAAATCGGTTCAGATTTATATATAGCTCCCATATATAGTTATGTCCGATTTTATGTAAATGGTGTACCCAAGTCCTTATATCTCTTTCGATTTGCATGAAATTTGGCATAACGTATTGAATTGAGCCTAGAATGATGTCTGCCAAGTCTCGTGAAAATCGGTCGAGATTTAGATATAGTTCCCATATACAGTTTCGTCCGATTTCATGTAAATGGTGCCCCAAAGTCCCTATATATCTTTCGATTTGCATGAAATTTGGCATAACGTATTGAATTGAGCCTAGAATGATGTCTGCCAAGTCTCGTGAAAATCGGTCGAGATTTAGATATAGTTCCCATATACATTTTCGTCCGATTTCATGTAAATGGTGCCCCAAAGTCCCTATATATCTTTCGATTTGCACGAAATTTGGCACAACGTATTGAATTAATATAGAGTGATGTGTGCCAATGTTTGGTTAAAATTGGTTCAGATTTCTATATAGCTCCCATATATATAGTTTCGTCCGATTTCATGTAAATGGTGCACCAAAGTCGCTATATATCTTTCGATTTGCATGAAATTTGGCATAACCTACTGAATTGAACCTAGAGTGATGTCTGCCTTGTTTCGTGAAAATCGGTCCAGATGTAGATATAGCTCCCTTTTATTATAGATCGATTTTAAGTAATTGACGCAGCATGGAACCAATAGGAACAAAACGTTCTGCAATTAGTATAATCTAACCTGTGACAAGTTTGTTTGAAATCGCTTATAATTGGATAGAGCTTCCGTATATATTTTGGCCTTCACGATTTCAAGCACATAGTCTTCCATATCCGGGCATCAAACTCCTCATGTTACCTTCAGATTGACATCAGGAATTTTGCACAACGTACAAAATTACATCATAAAAAAATTCAGATTTTCGTAGTTGACAGAAGATTTTCTGAGAACTTCTGTACAGACGTAGCCCAACGGATGACCTATTTATTTATTTCGATTTACATACCTTATGGATAGATCTTGGTAGATTCGCATTTAGATAAATATCTCATATTTTGTTTCATCCAATTTCATCTTAATAGTCCTGTTTAAATACCCATAGTGGTGAAGGGTATCATATAGTCGTCCCCGTCCGACTATACTACTTGCCTTACTGTATCCTCGAAGCCTGTTCGTTGCATATATTATTTGATATTATCTAAAAGGGCATTTGATTTTTTAAAACCAATATATATTTTCCATTTCCAATTCCCATTTTCTCCATGTGTACATCCCTTAATATCATCAACAAATCAGTTCCTACTACCATTCCACAATTGAGATATTACCCAAGTCAGAAGATATCTTACTCATATTCTACTTCGTTTTCTTTGATCGGTTCATATAACTGATGTTTGTTGTACATTTGAAATGTGACTGCCATTAATCACTCAACACGTACAATAACAAAAACAAAAAATGCTAAATGTTTTGCCGCTACCAAGGAGGTATGAAGTAACCAAAACGACAACAGCAACATGCTGCTACATCACACGAGCTCCTACTAAATGGTGTTGGTGGTTTGAGGTCTTAAAGGCTGTCGCTTCAAATCACACATTACCTTACATTTTTTCCAAAAAAAAAAAATGAATGATGCGATTTTTTGATTCATTTTTTTGTTTTCGTTGGGCCACCAAGTCCATCGGCAGCCTCAGTGTTTTGGTCGGTCATTTGTCTACTAACACGCGAACATGAACTCACTCTAAACGTTTAACATTTTCAAAATTAAATGACTGAGTGAGTGAATCCCAACTAACAGATAATTATGACAATGTAAGCGAATCAGCTGGATACCGACCAAACCAAAGGTGTATTATTGTTATGGTCCAACCCATCACATTAACTGGCCGGGTTATGGTGTGAGCGTGTGACGTGAGTGTGAGCCATGGCGTGTTTTTAAGATAAATGAACGACATTAGTAAAGTTCACAACAACAAAATGATCAAGAATACTATAGAAAATATGAAAGGGAATCCCATTGATGATGATGTTGGTGAGGTGAAAGGAGCCAACATCGCCACCACCACCACTACCACCACCATGAAATATATCACCTTTGTGTGGTGTATGAAGTTAAGAAAAAAAAAGGTGGCAATTGCCCGCCAGCTTTACAGCATCCGTAATATTGTTTCTCTCGATGATGACTATATTTCTTAAGTGATGCTGAGATCGTGGCTGTTGCTTTCCTTTTTTTGCATCGCAAAAAGTAAGTTGTTACTTAGGCAGACATTATGGCAAAATTACATAGTTAATAAACGTTTAACTAATCATTAGTGGGGTTACTTGGGATCACATGATCCCTTTGATCTTTTTTTTTCTTTCTTTAAAAGAAAATCCGCCACAGTGTAACTGTTAATTTATTTTTACATTGTTCGTCGATTTTATTTTGATTAATTTTATTAAGCTTGAACTGGGTAATTAAATGGCAATAATGTCATTGCCGGAAGATCTTTGATGACGTTTTTTTTTTTCTATGAGAAGCTTTTGATAATAAAATTTGCACATTTATAGGGTTATGAAATCTAATATATAAAATAGGATTATGAATGGTAAACCTCAATTAGAGGAATTAGTCTCCTTCCCATTCATAAGTGCTATACAGCGTGCTGTCTGAACGACTGAAGCCAATGGTCAATGATATTATTGGATCGTATCAATGCGGCTTCAGACCTGACAAACCCACTAGACTAGACCAGATTGTCACACTGCACTAAATCCAGGAAAAGACCCAGGAA